GCGTACTGCCACAAATATGCCGAAGCAAGAGAAGACGAACAAAATGCGCTCGTAAGTTTGAAATCGCAAAAATTACAGTGCGTAAATGTAGGGTGATGGCAAACATATAATTTGCTCATTAAAAATTTCTACGCTTTTACTGACTGAAATGAAAAGAAGTCGAGAAAAGAAAGAGTGAGTCGATTTTTTCCACTGGTTCACTGAACCATCTACAGTAGTTCATTTTTTCAAAAAAAAATTGAGTAAAAATTTGATCAGCGGTTTGACGTATACTTTTTTACATATCGACTGGCATCGTTATTTAACGATGAAAATAATATGATGCATTTTGATAGTGTTTTTATGAAGTATTTTAATATAGGCCACACGAATTATGTGATAGTTTAAGTAACAGAGAACACAATCTCAATAATTTAGCAGTTTTGCATTGGCCATGCCGCACATTTCATCTGAAATTTATTCAAATTTTCAGATAATCCATTTAGCGCGCAATAACAACTACAACTTTTAAATGGTTATTCACTTTTTTCGGCTTACAGATTTAATATTATTATCGAATGTATATATATTACTTTTCCGCACACACCTAGTGTGTAAGGTAAAGTATTGGAATCGGTCGAAAAATTAACACCCATAAAAAATGTGTTTTCTGGGTGTTTTTGGGGCCAGGGAACACGAATCTAGCATTTTTTCGATGTCCGAATGTATGTGCGTACCCTGTACCCTGTACCCTGTACCCTGTACGCAAAAATTTGTTAACACGATAACTTTCAAACAAGAAAAGTAATTCAAAATCTGACTTCACAGGATGATTGGGGGTGCCGAGGAATAGAAACCATTAGATTTTGAGCGACTTTGGTTGACAGGGTAAAGTGTCATGTCTGGTGTGATGCCCATGGCCATCCATGGTAAAAATTCAATTTTTCTTCCAAAAGTGATATTTAATGTATACTTAAACACTCAAAAATGTGTATTGGGGGGTTTTTGGGTACGAGAAAACCGAATATGACGTTAGTTTTGCGATACAATCAACTTTCGAAACACTTTTCATACAAAAAATTCAAAAAATTTGGATTTTTGTATGGAAGCCATGCCTGTATGATATCGTAATGAGCTGAAACTTTGCACAGGTTATTTTTATCACACGAAAATACCATCCCGAGAGTTTGAAGACATTTCAATGCATATTAGGAGTACCTCCTGAACAAAATTTTGGATTTTTCGCTCAAAAACGAAATGTTGTATGGGAAGTGTGCCTTAATATGCATTGAAATTTCTTCAAACTTTCAGAATGTTAACTTTTTGTGAAAAAAATAACCTCTGCAAATTTTCACATGAATACGATATCATATAGGCATGGCTGCGATTTAAAAATTCCCATTTTTAGTAGTTTTTGTATGAAAAGTGCTTCGAAAATTATTTGTATCGTAAAATTAATGTCAGATTCAGTTTTCTCGTGAATTCTTCGAGTAAAAGATTTGTAATAAATGCATGTCGTGGATCACAGTGCGGAAAAGTTCATCTTACGGATGTAAGACATTTTATTTACGAATTTATTTTCATACAGTAGATGTTTATGACTTTTTTTTGCAATGCAAAAAACTGACACAAAATTGTTGAAGCTCGATTTCGAGAACGAAAACAAAATGTGTTTTTTGCGTAAATTAGATGTTGCGCGAAGTAATAATAAAGATGATGGAATTTGTAGGCGGTCATTGACGAGGCAAATATTTTTCAACATTGCTTACAACGGAGAGATGGCAGCAAGGTAAACGACTGCATTTTTCAACCAAAACTTTTACATCACTTGTCTTAAACCTCTATTTCAAAGTTTTTTTGCTCAAACATTTCATTTTCTAAACAGCTTATTTATTGACTTCAATATGTAATTTTGTTTTCGTTTACTTGCCTAACTTTGTACCGAAATGAGATTTTTTTTCGACGAAAGTATACGGTACAATATTGCACACGGTAGCTCAGGGGCAAATCGATGAAAAATTACGTTCGAAATGCATTTTAGTTTTCGAGAGAATGATAGTGCTGACGAAAGACAGAAAATTATATTGCGACATGTGTTGATCTACGAAAAATGCCGGAGATTGTGGTTTTTCTTCATTCGATGCCCATCATTACCCTACGCAATGTGTCTTCAATAAATAGACCCTTTATTTGAATACGACAAACAAAAAAGAACGAAACAGTTTTTTTTCGGTTTTTCTCGAAGTGTTTCACATTGTCAAAATAAATTGCGAAAGATTTTAGATCTGTAGTTATTACGATTAACATCGCACACTACATTTATCTATCGGATTTGGGTGAAAGGCTGTGTGCGGCATATGTTTTTGTTCATTGGCCACACAAAAAAAAATCAACAAAATTACAGAGAGACAGAGTGTGGGAGGTGAAAGATAAAGAATATCACGCATTGGCGTAATTTTGCCGATGTCTGCGAAAAATGTGTGTTTTGCACAAACGCACAAAATACATTAAATTGATTGAAGCTCATTAATTTGATTCATATGAATGCCAGAAAAAATAATAAGTCTAATGTATTGTGGTCGACAGTACTATCCCTCTCTCACATTGGTCAATTTTACAAAAATTTCTGCTTTCGTTTGCAAATTGAAAATCCAAAGTGAAAAATCTTTTACGATTGCTACAAATTATCGAAATGTATTGATTCTCGTTGATAAGAATAAATCTAACGTTTTCTCTTTGTCACAATCTGGTACATAAAAGGAGGGGATCGAAAGTGGAATACATCAAGTCTGTCTTATTACGATGTAATCTGGGCAATTTATTCGATTGAAAGGAAGCCAATTGTGGAATTATGTGTTCGAATGGTCCAAATTAATTTATTGATTAGAAAATCCGTCTGCTTGTGAATGATGAATGTGTGAACACTAGCAGTCCCTCAGCTCACAGCGCATATAACATGGGAAGGGTTCACACGAGACACTCTGATCATGTTTGCATCGATGTGATACATGTTTTTCTTTTCGTTTTGCTAATGTATGTAAAACTACCGATTATATTTTTTATGAGTTTCGATATTCAAATAACGATTTATGACTATGAATGTCGACACGACAAAAAGATAGGAAGAATCGCTCACATAAGAGATTTTGTTTCATTTTTTTTATTCTCTAAATAGTTAATCGAAAAATACAAAGCAACCGTTTCTCTCCTTTTCTTATCGTTGCGTAAGACACTTTCCATGGTACGTATCTTTTCCGTATCTGTTTTAAAAATTTGCAATTCGTTCCATGCAATCATTGCCATTTTATGTGACCAAACCCATTGTGAGTCGAGGAAGCACAGATGAGAAAAAAAACAACAACAACAACTATTCGAAGATGAAAAACCAGAAAGCACAACACTCCCACGCATGCTAGCCAGCTCATAAATCATATAAATCACATAGAAATGTCAATGAATGTTCAATAAATCATCGGGGGATATTTGACCACTCACATATAGAATTCCACCGGGGACCGCATCATGTGTTCGACACTCGGTGTAAGCAAAATTTAACGATTTAACACGATGAAAAGATATGTTGGATATTTCTTAGATGGGGAACCAACCACACAGACACATACACACTTTTAGTATCTCACAAATCATTTCAACAAATATTATCGCGCTGCCACTTACTTCAGCAAGTCATTCGATATTCGGTTGTTTGTTTTGACTCTTTTAAGTACATTTAATTCCATTTTAATGTTCACGTGTAGAAAACTATTTTAAACGAAAATTTCATAGCAATATATATGGAGATTTCACTTTGGCATACAAATACCTTGGCCATTTTACAGCGTTACGAATATGTTGTAGATAATCTGCATGGTGAATAATAAATTGCGGCCATTTGACAACAATGCAATTCCATTGCGAATGGAAATAAATAATAATATGACTTTTTCAACAATGTATAAAAGATGGATCGAAAGTCATCAGAAAATAGCGAAACATGAAAATATAGAATCCAAATTCAAGTGGCGTATGCAATTTCTGCAAAAAAATAAAATAATTATGATGAATTCGAAAACATGTGCTCAATTCTTAATCCTGTTTTATTTCATCATTTTCATTTTGCCACATGAAAATAACAACGACGAAACGCCGTTTCATATTCTGAGAAAGTTCCATCGTTAATCCACTTAAAATTCACCAAGTGATGTCATGTGCGGCTCATCGAAACAAGAGAAGAATATTTCAACAACACAATGTAGCTAACATCAACTCTGACCACAGCACCAGCGTGGTTCTGCATGGTTCTCTTGCGTTGAATGCTGTTGTTGTTTATGCGTATGAGTGTGGGAAAAGCAGCGCAATGAAAGAACCCAATATTATTAATTTATGAATTGTTTTTCCATTTCGAAGCATAATATCTGATCTTGTTACAAAGAAATGTTTTGAATTTTCTCGCTTTGTTTGCTTCAAATCGACTTTTAGTGTGACTTTCAATGTTAAATTCAACGTCAAAATATTCCTGTGTACAACAATTTAAACCAGATAAACAGAGTAATTAAATGACGAATTCACGATGATAATTGATCGATGACTGTGATCTATTGTCGTCCAAAATGAATTCAATGACTCAGTATCAAGTTCAATGAAAAGTGGTCGACAAAATTTACGCATTATCGTAAAATTACTGCCGTTTTTTTTTCATATCCACACTTTTCCATTGTTTTTATGTAGGCAGTTTATGAAGCAAAACAGTTTTTTTCCACTCGTTTAAATTGACACTTTGAATATGTGCCTCAAATCATGTAAATATTTTGATGACTAATATAGAAATGATGTTATTTATAAATCGTATCATATTCAAATTACCAATTTGATAAAAGCGCAAAAAAGGTAATTTAATAAGGGAAGGTCACCCAAGCGGGAAGTGCCTTCTCATCTCGACCATGACCATTTTATTATTGCCGATGTATAAAAGGATTTGAATGAAACGCCAACCATTCAGATCACATTAAATTGTTGTGCAGTAATATTCTGATCATTTGTGAAGTGATTGTGATTTAAAACGAACGATTAAAGACTGAACACTCGACAATTTTATCACATTGAATTATTTAGAACGGTGTATTCCCGGAGAAATTGAACAAAATGTTTTTGAAGGTATGTCAATCTTTTGTCAAACTGTGATTTAAATTCAATTTTCCGAATTTATTCCAAATGTGCTTTCTTATCAATCAGATAATTTTGAGTTTGCTGGTGACCGGTGCAGTTTTAGCGGAAAGTGTACAACAATTTTATAGCCAATCTCAAACATATAATCCATATTCATATTTGAGCGGCTATAACACTGATGGACTTTATTCGGGATATAATACACAGGGTGGACTTTATTCGGGATACGGCTATAATGCATACGGATTGGGAAACTATGGTGGAGTTGGAAGTAGTTATCCCTATTATTCAAGCTATTATCCGTATCCAACATCCTCGTATGCTGTTTACAATCCATATAACTACAATACAAATAACCAAATGCCCAACACAAATGCATACAGTGGTTCTGGTGGCTGGAATGGATTAGTATTTGGAGGCAAAAAGTAAACAAATCGCTTGAACAACTGCACAGTTTTTCTCTGACCCATCGCTCATCGGTTTTTTTATTAATAAACCGAATTTAAAATAAGTGATAACAATATAGACTAAGCATTGTGTTTATTTGTTTAAGAATTCAAAATAAAATTAGATATTACAATAATTAACAACAAATCCCTGGTATAACAGATTCGTTTGATGTATTACAAGCTGGGCCAAGAGATTATGGTCATGAGTTTAATCAAAAACTCCTTACATCGCACATACCTTTCGAATGAACAAACACCGGGAATGATGTTTTCCCGGGAGTTTTTCCATATGTGAATTTGCATATATCTTACAAAAAATAAATACCAAGCGACCATATGTGTGTATGAATTTGTTTGAATGAACAAATAATCAGTGATTTATACCTGTCGTTTTTATGCACATAAAATCTTCTTTTGTCTTTATTTTTCAACTTTCCCTGTTTTCATTTTTGCGGTTCAAGTCTTTCGTATCTTGGTAAGCTAAGCTTACGCAATAGCAACTGGCAAAAGGAGTAAATCTCCTGTTGTGAGATACATACATACATTCCGCATTGTCATGAGTCAGCATATTTGATTTCGATCCAAGAAAATGCAATGAATTTATGGTTCACATGCGAATAAATTTCCGAACAAAATGAAAAGGCGCACCGAATATCCGAAAAGTCCGAAGTTTATCCCAAGCGCAATTATTTCCGCGTAAATATCACCTTGGACACACAATACACCATAGACGGTTTTATTGTCGTGAGTTATCACACAATTTAGCGGGCGACACACCAATTTTCTCAAGTATATACACAAAATAATTTGCTAGCGGAAAAGCATTTACTTCATTATTATCATTTGAATGCGATAAATTGTCGGCGGCTATGCTAAACACAACAACACATTCGAGCAATTTTTCCCGCTCGGAAGTGATTTAACTCTTCGTTTATCGCTCGAAATGGTACATACGAAAAAATTTACATATTTTAGCCATTTACACATATCTTAATACTTATTTCCTTTTCTAAGACAATTCACATTCGAATCGATATAATTCGTTCTTAGATGAACGAGAAAATCATTTGCTGTTGTTTGTGCATTTCATTTTTTTGGTTCTTTCGAGAGAGAGAGAGAGAGAGAGAGAGAGAAACGTCATCCCATGTAAGACGATTAAATCGTGGAATTTATCTCTGGCACATGTTAAAGCATACATATCCGATTTACGATTGTGGTTTACATTTGAGAGAAATCTCAAGCAAGTGGAAAAATTCTTCAATTTTTCATTTTGACATTGTCCTTGTTGAGAATATGTATGGAATAAAAAAAAACACCGAGCAAAAACGAGAGTGAATTGAATGGAAACCGTGCCAAAGAGAGCGCGCCTTCAGAGCATCGTTGTCAGTGATACGGGATAATATATACATCGTAACGATTTGCACAATGTTTGTGCAGATTAATTGACTCAGAGTATGTGCGTGTGTGTACACGACATACAATGCCAGCGGTTGTAAAACCATCAAAACAAACCCAGAGGGGGAACATTGAAAAAGAACCGTCGTCGTCGTCGTCTCGAACAACGAAAGTCAAAGTGATAATAGCATTGCTGTTCAGTGGCCCTTGTATTTTGAGTACATCAAATGGGACGCCTGTGTGTGTGTACTTCTTGTAAAGTCATCACCACTTATGCTCAACTGTATTTTGGTTCGTTCACTGTAATTCAGTGAGCACTGCAGCAACAAAAGGAAGTACGGTAATTTATCGTTTCTACACTTTTAACTTTACTCTTAACTCTGAACATGCAATATTTGTAACGAATTCCAAACGAACTTACAAACTTAATTCGGAAAGAATTTTTCGCTTAACATTCGCGTATAACTCCTTTTTTCTATGTGAAAAAGGATGCAAAATCCGTTAAATATTGACATTTCGACTAGATTTTCTCTTTGAATCCATCATTTGAACTGCGAGTCAGTAAAGTCTATTGATATTAAAAATGTATTTTCGAATTAAAATTGAATTTTCGATGAAAAAAGCGGTATGTTTGCGCTTCATTAAACGAATAGTCATCTGTCATCGGTATTATTAGAGTCAGGAAGAATTACTTCAAAATTGTCATCGCAACTAAATTGCATTTTGAATGATTCGCCATACTTTGAGCCCGAGCTTTAGCCAATCATTTATCAATTAGGTGTTGGCTGTTTACTCTGCCACTCTATCCATTTCGATTAAAAATTCAAAAAATTTCCGCTCGACTTAATTCAGCCATATGCTCACCACTGTGGTTCATTCACAAACTGCATATTCCTCTTCATTCTATTCAAATCATCTGATGGAACGTCACTGTTTGCTCTAATTTTCGAAAGAAAACATTTACAAATAAGAAAAGAGAATTCATTGAGCATTATTATTATCAAAATGTTGACGTCCCACGAAAATGATATTGATTGAGCAATTTTCGTTCGCTACGCTGCACAATATGAATCTATCTGTCTGGCTTCATGTTTATCGTCGCGATTTTTTCCCGCTGCTAATCATGTCCCGTTAAATTATATTATTATCATAAAAAATATTAATATTTTGCATCACGAAATGAAGTGAAAGTAAATGCGATGCCACCAGTCTGTTACATTTTGCGTGATCACAAGGAAATTGATAGTCTTTGTGTGGAACGGTAAAATTTTTGTCTACAGCTGAGATTTTTTCATTCTAATTAAACTGTGAACGATGATAAAATGTAGGCCAGAAAAAACCCAATAATCTTTTTCACGCATGAGAACGGCATTTTTTTCCTTCCTGTTGATACATATACTGTCCGACAAAATCCTCGCCAAATTCTACGGTTTAACACACGAAACTTAACTTTCTAATAGACTGAAAGAGAAATGGTGGTGATTGATGGCAATTAGATCAATTCTGAAGCAAACGGGACTTTTGATTTTGAAAAATATATATATGATTCGGCTCCTTATGGGCTCATGTTTGTGAACCTTCATCATGCAATCGAATACCGTTAAGTTTAAATCTTTGACTAACCCGTGCAAAAGTTTGCTTGGGCAAAACATCTATACGCGGGTTTTACAATGAAAAATTAAAGACTTTTGTTATTTTGAAACGAAATCAAGTGTCGAGCATAAAATACTTCCAAAATTTGCATTAAATGGTACAGAATCAGCAAAGAAAAAAAAATCATCAAACTTCCGACAGAAAATATTTTTGGAAGTTCATGGATAAATCGAAAGTACGTACATTATTATCGTCATTATAAGTTTCTCCACTATACTTCCATATCTTTTGCATGAAAAGCGCTTCAAATGGTTCTTCCATACTGCCGGTTAAACTAATATCGTAATCAAAATATCAGTACAAAAAGAATGGGGAAAAAACGTTTAAAAAATAAATATAAACCGCGCATTAAGTACACAAATCGAACGTTTTTCTGCATTGATTAAACGATGCTCTCATGTCATAAAATGTTTTTACTGTTTCGCAGACGGCTTTACGATGCATAAAAAAGCGGCTGTTTTTTCAGTTAAATTTCGCACACTTGGTACAATTCAACACTGGAAAAGATGAAGCGGAAAAAAGGTAGCCAAGCGGCGATAAAACGAGAAATTAGAGCGACGATATGGACGCTTGCTGCTTCTACGTACTGTTCAAATGAAAAATACACACGAAAAATGTGCCCATCGAACAATGATTGAATACGATTTAAAAAAAACTCCGGTATGATTTGAATGCCTTTGTGAAACATCCATGTGGTGCACGATTATAGATTCACCGGCACCGACACTCTCTGGCTGGAGCGCACACAATGCAAATTCAAATATAATTATCGCATTCAAATATTGGCAATTATCTGCACGCGATGTGTATTGCTGATCCCCATTTTCAAGTGGTTGCATCGTTGATGCACAGCATTTTATTAAGCGTTTGCTCGTTTAACTTCGACATGTGAAATGCAATGTAATTGATGCGTTCAACCAACCGGTTAAGCCTATGAAGAGACAAAATGCGAATTCCCCTCATCTGTGCCATCTTGTATTCCATAGTTGAACTCAATTTAGTTACAATGAATTGAATCGAAAAAGAGAAAAAAAACAACAACAGTAACATGGCTACATAGATCTGTTGACCAGTGAGATACGTATAGCAATGGAATGAAAGAATGAAGAAAGCGTATATGTGTATGTATGCATCAGCACGCATAGATGTACAGCTCTGTGTGGCCGTGCTATTGTTGTTGTTTTTTCACTTTTTCATTTCAATGCTACAGAATTAAATTCAGTTTTTGCATCTAATTCACACTAAAATCAGATGGCGCTCATTAGCGAGATTCGCAAAAAAAAGTCTCCAATCTCATACAAATATACACCGGCTGCGTTCAACTCTAGCATTATCCAACGAAGTGATTCTGTTCGGTTCAACCTTCCTTCACTCACTTGTCCGCTTTCTCTTGCTCTGTTTGTTCTCCTTTTTGTTCACTTGGTTTTTATTGTTATTGCTTGATTTTTCTGATTTTTTTTTTGATGCGTTGATTTTTACCTTTTCTCTTCGCTTGCCAATATTCGTGATGTATTTGGCCGATCGACGAACAGCGCCAGTATGAATGACTGAAAATTATAAATTTGTGTCTACTGTACATCCGACCTTAACCTCGAGACTTAATTAATTTTTATTTCGGCCAAATGACTCTTACCTCCTGTTTTACATAATTTCCAGTGCTTTCTTTCAAACGGTCCATTTTAACGGGCATGCTAAACATTTTAAATGAGATGCCACTTTATTAATGCCACTTTTATCGCTTTTCGAATGTTCAATGTCTTTGCCAAACAATAAAACACGATGCAACAAGCGCCGATATTTCGCCCCGAAACCAAAATTTATTCAATTTTCCAAAGCGCCAATTGGTACCAATTAAAATCAACATCACTTTTTCTTTATTATTCCATTTGAATTCCGCTTGCCTTCTTTGCGAAAAACATAATAAAACAGATTCAATTAAATCAACCGCTAATTACGTTGTTATT